TCAATTTAAATTTATTACGCTTTTCTTTAATTTTATCTCTTAAATTCTTTGTGAGCCAACCCAGTTTTTTACTTGTAGCTTCCCTTTTCTTTCTATAAGGCACATGTTTACTCTGAATATTTAAAAATTTATCTTTAAAATTTTCCCCATCTGATCAGTCTCCAAAAAACTCAGTTGCCCAATTCACAACAGAAAATTATTGTCACATCTCTTCAAAATTTGCTTTTTTTAAAATATATGAGGGTATTGATAGAATAAATACCTCTAGTTAAGACCATTTTATTTTTCTAACATAGTGAATGACTTATGAAATGAGTTGCCATTGGCAGCAGTGGAAGCCAGCACTTAACAAGAGTATAGAAGGGGAACTGATAATTTCCCAAAAAATAAAGAGTGGATTTTACTTTTCCACAAAAGTAAACAAACAGCCTTTAAGGACCAAATGATAATTGTCGTCCATATGTTAAATTCACTACTAATTCTAAATTTTGTAGAAAAAAGCTTCTCTTATAAAAAAAAATAAAAGGCAGAATGTGGAATAGGAGTTGTAATACCAAAAATGTAAAATTACACACTTTTAGTATGGAAATTTGGAAGAATGTTTGTACAAGAAGAGCATTGGGGTTGTAGAAAAGTAAATAATTTAGGTATGATTGTTTGGTAAAGCCCTCTGCTTAATCATGTTTAACAGTAGTAACTGAATGCTACGTGCAGTTTTGATTCCTTTATTACATGAAAACATTGGAAAGTATGCAAAAACTGGCTCTAAAATTAGAATGTCTGGTTTAAGTTATTTAAGATATTAGGAGAGGCTCAGAATTTTAACTGAAAATTGTTAGGGTTTTGGAAAGTCTTCCTATGGGTTATCAGTTGGAGTGTTGAAATGAAAAGTAAAGAAATTTGATTATTATTGGATAAGAGTCTTGGAAGCTCAGATGAAAATTTATTCTTGGATTTATTTATTTTTATTAAAGTTATAAATGGAATGGTTTGCCTTATAATGTGACTGCGTTGTTAGTCTTAACTATTTTCATATTCTAACAACTAGGTTTTAGGTTGTTAAAGGCTACATTTGAATTGGAATGAAAAAAAAAAATGTTTCCTGAAACGGGAGTTACTTCAATGAGTCAAATGGCCATGTGTTATTTTGCTTTTCTTTAACTTCCTGTGACAGACTTTTTTCACTCTCTAATTACAAAATTTCCCCAAAGTAAACAAATTTTTCTTCCATCTAGCAAACTAGAAACTCCATATTTAAAAATATATACATATACTGCATCCCACAAACTATGCAACATTTCCCTCTTCACAATTCAACTTTCTTACTTTCACTTTCAACATGAATTCCTCATACTTAATTTTTATTATTATTATAAAAACATTAACAATAAACTAACATTACCAATACCAGTTCGCTAACTAAACTTGGCCTATCTAAATACTGCAGCGTAATTTGTAACTTTTATACCACAACAGATTGCTCACGTTTCTTTTACGAAATATTTTTAGGTGCCATAGGCTATAGCTTAACTTAATTTGCATATATGAATATTCACTATATAAACTTACCCTTTTATGTCGTCCTTTAAATACTACCGCAAAAGCGCCATGTCCAATTAAATCTTTAGTACTGTACTCAAATTCTCCTACACTTTCCATTTTTATTTTCTTCTGCGCCCCTAACTGGCACTGAGTTACTTTATAATAATTAATATTATCACTAGTAGTAGTACTAGCAGTTCTAAGGACAGTGTGTACTACTACTACTACTAGTGCTAGTAGTAGCACTAGTTAGTCTCAAGCCTATTTAGTTTACTTGGTTTCGCACAATTAAGAATCAAAATAATACGATTCCGATGAGTCCGGGTATGGTTGCATGTATATATATAAAGTAAACTATAATAAAACACTAGTAGTACAAAAATGTAGGAATCATACAATAACCCTTCTCATAGATTTACTTAGGCTATTAACTCGGATTTCTATATAAATATAGGTATTCTGCTTCACTGACATAACGTCCATTTCACTAGAAATAGCTGTGGAGACACAATGTCCATCGACAAATGCGCTACAACACATTTGAGCATGTCAGCTGCGGAACTCTACTGCAGTGACATCCTCGGCTAATGATGCAATACCAAAGGTCAGTCGTTATTAATGCTAATATAATTTGCAATCTTTAAAATGGAATTTTATTGCACATTCCCCTCAAAATTGAAATTATGTCTAATAAAGTAAGCAACCGATATCTCAAAACGAGATTTTACTACATGTAGACTAAATTTTGATAATAATGGAATAGGCTGATTTCTGGTGTTAAGTACAGGCTTATTGTGAATGCAAAACATTTTACAAACTATTTAATTAACTGACAAACTGCAGGGTCACCTAAATAAATGCAATGAAATTATTAAATACACCGAAGTACTTGAACACACTGGAAAACAAAAGCAAGGTTGGTGTGATCCAACTCATTAAAATTAAGAGATACGTAAGAGTAAGTGCTGGTTTACTCGAAAACTAGTAAAAGACCAGTGGAAACTCGAATACAAAAAAAGTAATAAGCATATCTGTAGAAATGTAGATGTAAGCTCGTCGATTGTGATATTTTCCGATAGCTCTAAGAGTGACCTGATATGTTCGCAAAAGTAACAGTATTTTCTTCAAGATATTTACTGCGAAATAATTTCGTACTTCCTAACTAAGTGAGTTTGCGAGAAATAAAGAGAGACTGGGCCCAAATGTACAATCACATTAAATAATTTTTGTTCAAACAAGCACAGTGAAAATCGATTTTACTTACCTAGATAGTTGGGTTTAAATTCATCTCTAACTTACTGAAACAAGGTCGTATGGAAAACATTCTGTTGATATACTATTTCAGACTTTCCTTTGGTTTTAACTTGATTTGTATTTCGGTATGAATCCAAAGCCTCGAGCTCGAGATGAGCTCGGAGCTGGTAGGAAACCGAGAGTGTTCAGAAATAGGTTTCTCTTCACCCCGCTCGCGGTATGAAATTTACAGGAGCTACCTGATACAAAAAAAAAAACAACATGCATCCATATGGATGCATATAAAATTTAATTGAAGAGGGGGTCAGCAAGAAAAAATCCGAAAGACATAGACGGTTTGAAAGTAAGGTTATCTTTCAGTTTAAGCTTGACTGGTATGTATGACAAACCCATTGGGTAGGGATGTGTAGATCTAATACTCTGAATTTTGTTGTGGGAGGAAAACAGGAGAACCTCGAGAAGAAAAAAAAACACTTTCACTACCCTGACCAAATAATCTATCCGGGTGGTGCCTGAACTGTGAGGCTGGAACGAGAAAAGGGCATATGTAGTTAATACGATACCTGCTATTAGTTACATAGATGAAATGGAGAAAAATGGGTGCACCATCTTTCAGGAGTTGCTGCTAGGGTTGAAAACTATTTGGTTAGAGAATTTCGAGTGGCTACTATGAGTTAGTACTTCTTTTGCAAGCTTGAGAATTCTCTTTGTTTATTTTTTAGTTTAGATATTACATTTAATGAGTCAAGGTAATTATGTGGTGTGTATTAAGGTAAGCGGAAAACTGACCTGATGGCTTTGTAATGAAGTGCTTGGAGGTTTTTAAAGAAGTTATCAGGCATGTTACCTGCGACCATGCTATCATATTCGATTAATGGTCTAATGAAAGCTTTATAAATAGTGATAATGTGTAATGAATTTGTTATGTATTTATTTTAATATGGACGTTGTTTAGATTAAATGTATATTTAGAAACATACATAGCTTATACTGTTAGATGCGTATTGCGAAACTCCCGTATATTCTCCAAAGTTGTAGTAGATTCTCGAGGGTAAGAATCAACAATATTCTATATACGTGAACGCTTTAACCAGTATTGTTACGTAAGATTGAATTTTCTAGAAAACGTTCCCACGCCTATAAATATAACTAACGCGACGCGCCAGTAGAGTGTCTGTTATTAGTTCGCTATAATCAGTGTGCTATAAACTTTCGAAAGCTACAACTGTGATTTTTATAACGCTTATCAATCGGACAACTTAAGATATTTGACCAGGAATATTTATAAATTTCGAACTTACAAATCGTTTAACTTCAGTGGATTCTCATCGAACATTGGTATTTTTACGAAAACATTACCTAACTTTGTGTTATAAAAGAAAACTGTGTGTATCAATCTTGTTGGCAAATATTACAAACTGACTATATATATCGGCATTTATTTAAATACTAAATCCCAAGTACAATTTAACTACTAAATTTAAATTATTTAACTGGGCTTCAGACTATTCGAAATTCTAATACATAACATAATAAATTGGGGGCTCATATCCGATATCTGAATCAGAGACAACATTCGATGTAAATTAAAATTTAAATCAGAATTTAATTTATATTTATCAGTGCCAACAAGATTTGATCATGTCGGATTATCAAGATTTTCTTGTATCACCTTCCCTAGAACAGCTAAAAAAATATAACAAAAATTAATTGCTTGAAATTGACAAAGTTTTAGAACTAGAAGTTAAAAGGTCAATGAGAAAAAATGAACTAAAAAGCGTGTTATCGAAATACTAGTCGATGATGATTTGTTGCCTGAGGAAGCATTAGAGGAATACTCTGGTGTATCTACTAGCCAATCAGGGTTGAGTGATAAAGATAGATTAGAGATTCAGCTAAAACTCAAACAAATCGAGCTCGAACAAACTCGAATTGAAACGGAGAAAGAGAATGAACGAGTTCGTATTGAAGCCGAGAACGAACACATTCGTATTGAAGCCGAAAAAGAAATTAGGCTGAAAGAAATGGAAACTAGCCTTAACTGCGATCAAACAAAGGCAAAATACCAACTTTGAACTGAACCGATATGTTAAAGTACTACCATTTAATGAAAATGAAGTTGATAAATATTTCCAACATTTTGAGAAGGTTGCCCAAACCATGGAATGGCCCACCGAAAAATGGTCATTATTATTACAAAGTGTCTTAACTGGTAAAGCACAGGAAGCTTATGTTGCTTTCTCTTTAGAAGATTGTACGAATTATGAAAAGGTTCAAGCAGCTATTCTCAAAGCATACGAGGTAGTACCAGAGGCTTTTCGCCAAAAGTTTAGAGGTTATCACAAACAAGATAGTCAAACTTATATTGAGTTTGCCCGCGAAAAGGAGGTTTATTTTGATCGATGGTGTAATTTGATGCATATTGGCGATAGTTTCGACAAACTAAGACAATTATGCCTAATTAAGGAATTTAAACATCGTGCACGTGACGACCTTAAAACTTACTTAGATGAAAAAAAGTTGAAACAATACAGGAAGCAGCCGCTCTTTCTGATGACTACACTTTAACACATAAAACTACTTTTCATAAAAAAGAAATTCCTACCATCTCAATAAAAACATTTATCTGTTCAATCCACTAAAGTTGAGGATTCTTATAAAAAATCCAGCTCCTCTAGTTCGAAATCTTCTAACAGTCAGGATAAAACTTCTTTAAAACAATCAAGGCCTGTCTGCCATTTTTATAAAAACCTGGTCATGTTATGTTCGATTGTTGGTGTTTGAAAAAGAAAAAGAACAGGAGGCAACTCCCAGTGCGTTTGTTTCCACATATGGACGTAGTTTCAACAGATCACCCGATATTGTTGATTTGGCCACTGATATAAAGGCTGATGTAATCAGTGAAGAATTTAGACCTTTTATGTCTGTTGGTTTTGTGTCTTTGGCA